CCCATGGCCATTCGCCCAATATGTTTTCCCATCCATGATTCGCGTGGGCCGCCGCGCCCTCGGCGGCTCTCGCACGTTGTTTTGCTGTCCCTTTTGTTTGAATTTCATGCCGGGTGTGCGTAGATCGCCGCGCGCGCGGCGGCCCATCGCCGGTCGCGCACTGCGTGCGCCCGTGCAAGGCGCGCGTGGGCCGCCACGCGCGCGGCGGCCCATGGCCCCATGGCCCTTCGCGCGTTGCGTTTTCTTAGACAAGATGCGCGTGGGCCGCCGCGCGTCTAGCGGCCATTGTTTTTTCTTGCAGGATGCGCGTCGGACGCCGCGCGCGCGGCGGCCTTGTGCCACTCGCGCATTCTGTTCCCATCCGTGCAAGGTGCGCGTGGGACATCGCTCGCCCGGCGGCCCATGGCCGCTCGCGCATTATGCGCTTCCGTGCCAGATGCGCGTGGGCCGCCGCGCGCGCGGCGGCCCTCGCGCGCCGAGTTCTTCGATGCAGGATGCGGGCGGGCCGCCGCGCGCGGCCGCCCACTGCCCCTCGCGCGTCATGGTGTGTTGTTCCATGTAAAGAGGGCGCAGGCTGCCGCGAGCGCGGCGGCCCAGTTCCTCGCGCATTTTTCTCGACACAAGATGCGCGCGGGCTGCAGCGCGCGCGGCGGCCATGGCCCCGCGCGCATCGTTTTAATTCATGCACGATTCGCGCGTTGTGATTTTCCACGCAGGATGCGCCCTCGCGCATTGCGTTTTTGAATCATAATAACAAAATGCGCGAGGGGCCAGGGCCGCTGCGCGCGCGGCGGCCGATGGCCCCACGCGCGTTGTGTTTTTCTATGCAAGACGCGCGGGGGCCGTCGCGCGCGCGGCCGCCCTTGGCGCCTCGCGCGTTGCGGTTGCTTCGTGTAAGGTGCGCATGGGCCGCCGAGCGCGCGGCGGTCCATGGCCGATCGCGCATTCTGTCATTCAATGCAAGATGCGCGTGGGCCGCCGCCCGCGCGCGGCGGACAATGGCCTCTCGCACATCGTGTTTTTCCATATGCGATGCGCCTGAGCCGCCGCGCACGCGGCGGCCCTTGCCCTTCGTGCATATTGTGTTTACATCAAAGATGCGGGTGGGCCGCCGCGTGCGCCGCGGCCAGTGGCCCGTCGCGCATGGTGGTTTTCCATGCAGGATGCGCGTGGGCCGCCGCGCGCGCGGCGGCCTTGGCCCCTCGCGCATCATATTTGTCCATGCTAGCTGCGCGTGGGCCGCAGCGCTTGCGCGACGGCCCATGGTCCTCGCGCGCGCTGTGTTTCTTCTTTTCCATGCAAGATGCGCGTGGGCCGCCGCGCGCCCAGCAGACCATTATTTTTCGCGCATCTTGTTTGTCCCGTGCAAGATGCGCGTGGGCCGCCGCGCGCGTGGCGGCCCTGGCCCCTCGCGCATCTCACGTTTGCCGTGCAAGATGCGCGTGGGCCGCCGCTGCGCGCGCGGCGGCCTTTGCCCCTCGCGCATAGCATATGTCCATAAAGATTCGCGTGGGCCGCCTCGTGCGCGGCGGCCGCGGCCCCTAGCACATTGTGCGTTTCGGTGCAAGGTGCGCTTGGACCGCCGTGCGCGCGGTGGCCAATGGCACATTCGTGCATGCGTTGTTCCATGCAGGGTGCGCGTGGGCCATCGCTCGCGCGACGGCCCTGGCTCCTCGCGCACTGTGCGCGTCCCAGCGATATGCGCGTGAGCCGCCGCGCGCGCGGCGGCCCTTGGCACGCTCGCGCGTTGCGTTTTTTCCATGCAGGGCGCGCGTGGGCCATCGTTCGCGCGACCGCCCATTGCCCCTCGCGCGTGGTGTTCTTCCATGCAAGACGCGCGTGGGCCGCCGCGCGCGCGGCGGCCCATGGCCCCTCGCGCATCTTGCGTTTGTCATGCAATACTTGCGTAGGCCATCGCGCGCGCGGCGGCCCACGGCGCCTCGTGGATGTACTTTTGCCCATACAAGATGCGGGTGGGCCGCCGCGCGCGCGGCGGCCCATGGCCCTCGCGCGTTGTGTTCTCCCATGTAAGATGCGCGTGGGCCGCGGCGCGCGCGGCGGCTCCGGCGCCCCGCGCGTTGTGTTTTTGCCATGCAAGATGCGCGTGGGTCGCCTCGCGCGCCGCGGCCCTCCATGGGAAAGTCGCCATGTTGGCCTGCGAACGCAAGTGAACCCGCAACGGTTGCCGAATTGTGTTCCAGTTTAACATGCGGTCTTTACGTTTTCGTGTACCGGAGCAGCCCACAATGCGCCGACGCGCCCGCGCGCGCGTGCGGCGTGAACCCGCAGCCTTTGCCGATTGGATTTCAAATTCAACATATTGTCTTCACGTTTTTCTTTCGTCCATTTGCGCCGCCCACAATGCGCCGACGCGCGCTTTCGCGTGGCGGTTTCTGTTTTGTCCGTTATAGGAAAGTCGCTAGGCTTGCCTTGGTTGGAACTAACGTGATCCCTTGGCGCGTGTCGATTGGATTTCCAATTCAACATGCTGCGTTCACGCCTTCGTCAATGGGTGCAGCCTACAATGCGCCACCACGCGCAAGTGGCGGTTTCTGTATTGCCAGCCATAGGAAAGCCGCCATGCTGGCATGGGAACTAGAGTGGGCCCCTAGCGCTTGCTGGTTGGAGCTCCAAGCTTAACATGCGGTCTTTACGTTGTCGTATATTGGTGCAGCCTACAGTGCGCCGGCGCGCACGAGCGCACGTGGCGGCTTCTGCGTTGCCCGCAATAGGGAAGCCGCCATGCTGGTCTGGGAACTAGAAGTGAACCCTGGGTGGGCGCCGATGGGATCCCCCTCGTAACGTGCGGCTTTTACGTTTTCGTCCATTGGTGCAGCCTACAATGCGCCGACGCACGCGTTCGCGCGGCGTTTCTGTTTTGTTCGCGATAGGAACGTCGCCGCGTTGGCCTGGGAACTGAAGCGAGCTTTTTCCAGCGGTTGCCGATTAGGTTTCCAAGTTGGAATGCGGTCTTTACGTTTGCGTCTACCGTGTGGCGGTTTATGTATTGTTCGCGATGGGGAAGCCGCCGTGCGTGGCTTACTGAACTCTGGACATCCCCCTCTGGATGCCCAGAGTGCAATCACTAGAGTGCACTCTGGCGAGCGCACCCTGGTGAGGCGATGGGGCTGAGAGCGCACTCATGGTGAGTGCGCGCGCAGTGTGTCGGCGCGGAATGTCGGCGCCGAGTGTGACTGCCGAGTGTCGGCGCCGAGTGTCGGTGCCGAGCGTCGGTGCCAAGTGTCGGCGTCGATCGTCGTTGACGCGCCGAGTGTCGGCGCCGATCGTCGTCGACGCGAAGGGTCTCTGAAAACCAGTCCCCCCGCGCGAACCCGACGCAGGAGTCTGCCCTTGGACGCGGAGTACCAGGGCGGTCGCGGAGACGTCCCTGGCGGTCCCGTTTACCCCGCTTTTTGTTTTGTTTTCTACGTGCGCACGACAGCGCCGCGAGTAATATTTGTTCGAACTGCCCCCCAGATTCGTTTTCTTTTCAAGATAATGTTGTTTGACGCTACGCAGTGCCACGCCATGCTAAGCCATGCTACGCGTTGGTCTTCAACGCAGTGCTATGCCATGTTCTGGTCTGTACCGCTGTGCGATGCCAATATTTGCGTCGCAATGTTTTGTGATGCAATTCTTCACTACGCAACGCCACGCCATGCTATGACATACTGCGACCTGCCGTACTCTTCTACGCCCTGCTATGCCGAGCGCTACGATGTATCGCGCACCCTCTCGGGATCATTGCCCTGCTCGACATCCGACTGTGCGAATAGAGAAGAGATCTAGAGTGGAGGCCCATGCCAAAAAACACCCTGCTTGCCTCCAGGGTGCCCTGGGTTTCTTGGGTGTCGACGGTTTTTCCATGGAGAGCGTGACGTGCCCATTCCAAACATCAATGGACATCCTGGGGGTTCAGGATTGGCTTTCTCATGGAAGGTTTCTTGTGGCCGGGCCTCCACTGTACGCCATGGTAACGAATCGGAGGGAGGGTAGGACGTCAGATATGACGCGAGCGCACCTAGCTTTTCCCCCTCCTCTCTCCTCTTTCCTCTCTTTTCTCCTCCTCCTCCTCCTTTTCCTCCTCCTCCTCCTCCTCCTCCTCATTCTCATCCTCATCCTCATCCTCCTTTTCCTCCTCCTCCTGCCATGGTGGAGCGAGCGCAACTATGGTCTCGGGCTCGCAGACAAGCGATGGGCCCCGTTTCCGTGTAGAGTCGGCGCGATCCGCCGCCAGATCGGGCGTCACTGACTTCATGCTTCGGGGTGCACGGCCGGACTGAGGTATGAGGTCGAGGTCGGCTCGGGGGTTACCCCAGTGATCGTTTCCTCGCACCCCCTCTCTTCCACCCCCACGGAGTACATCTTGGCTGCTGTTGGTGCTTGTTTCAGGCAGGTGTGGAGTCTCCCCCAGGGGACAGACTGCTGCAAACAGTTGGGCAGAGGTCCGCAGCCAGACTACCCCCCCTTGCCCCCCCGTCCGAATGTCGGACCGCCGAATCAGAAAACGTTCACCTGGGTCCATGCTTCGGGGTGTACTGTCGGACCGAGGTATAAGGGCGAGGTCGGCTTTGGGAGGGTGCCCTACTGTTGTTCGGGGGCGTGGGCAGATCTTCTGCATCCTTGGGGAGGGCACCCTCGAGTGCTCTTCTGTTTGGCCGGCGGAGGTCTCGCGTTCGTGAAGGATGTTCTTCTGTTTTAGGTCCTGCTGTACCTTCGCCGATCCGTGGATCTCCAGGCGACCGCAAACATGGATCAAGGGGGCGTGGATTGGCAACGGGTCCCGTTTCCATGGGGCATCGGGGATTCCCGCCGCCGAACAAGGCGGCACTGGCAACATCTTGAGGAGGGCACCTCTCCTGATCCATTGATTTGGCGACCGCGCGCCAACTCCATGGTTCGCCAAACCATGTTTGCGCGCCCCCGAGATCTGGCGCCCACGCGCCAGATCCACGGATCCCGAATCCACGCTGGTGTGTGCCCAGCCTTGGGCGCCCAAGGACCGCATCGCCAGGGACGTGATGGTGTTGCTGCTGAAGCTCGCCGGCGAGCTGTCCGAGACGAGAG